CACACACACACACACACACACCCTTGAGTCCCACCTGAGCCCCAACAGGCCAGGGGCAATAAGACTGGAACTCTGTCTCACACACACACACACACACACACACACACACACTCACACACACACACACACACCCTTGAGTCCCACCTGAGCCCCAACAGGCCAGGGGCCCAGGAACCTATATTTTTAGTAAGCACTCCCTTCCCATTTTTGGCCACATGGACGTTTGAGACTACAGATATACAGGAAACACACTCCATTTCTTCTCTCTTGTGACTGGGGAATTTCTGTTTTTCAGCGGGCCTCATCCACTGGAGGTAATAAAACTAACAATGGCTGGTTGCAGGTGGACCGCGGGCCTGTCTTATCTCCAGGGTGCCTTTCCACCACCTGTCCCACAACGCGTATTCATTGGAGGTAACTCATCTACCTGCGGTGGCTTCACATTCCCCCCAAAGCTTTTTTTCTTCTAGGGCCACTGGTGGAGATTGCCACCAACCCAAGCTCAAATCACAAAGACTCTGGGGGTTGAGTGGTTAGTTAGCAGCAAGTTCCTTTTTCAGTTTACCAAACACAGGGCCAGGGATGGCTGTCTCGGAATATTGTGGACGTTTCTCCTTCTTGGCGCGAGTGTGGCTATTATCCAGCATGTGCTTTGGGAGGAGTGGAAACTGTCTGATAAGTAGCTCGCGTGTCTCCTGCTGCTTCTCACTGCGGCCTCGCTGATGTTTGGGTATATGGATCTCAACCAGCGGAGCTGCCATATGAAAATGGCCGTTAGGTGTGTGGGGTTTGGCACGTTCTCTCTGAGCCCGGCTACCAGCAAGGCTTTGACACCCTGGCCTTGTGGAGGGGGGTGGTTTCAGGGTCCAACCTAAACACCCAAGGTGGCTGGAAACCAGGGGGGGTCTGGCTGGAAGAAGAAGGAACTCCTATACCTCTCTTGTGTTCTCTTAAACAATAAACGTGTCTCCGAAAACAACAGCATGACCATTGGGCAGCCTGGTCTCCCCAAAACCAAGATGCGCCTCTTCGCACAAGGCGCACCTCCTGCCTCCTGAACGTTTCTGGCCCCCAGGAACTTTACAACCTACAGAGAGATTGGAAGGCCCAACAGGACCGTGGCGGGGGTAGGGCACAGGTTGAAAAGGAGATGGAACTAGAGGTGCTCCTCTAACCTCCGACAGTGAGATGCCTGGGACACACAGCCCGGTCTGTTTCATGGAGACTGGTGTTCCCTGGAAGCCTCACCTTACACACAGGAAGAGCTACCACGGTGGGCTTGCATGAACCTGGCAAGTCCTGTGTACATTACATGTCATGTACATGCCACGTCATGTATCACACGACAAGATTGGCCTTTGCTGGTCAAAGTGTGGACTCTGGACCAGCAGCATCCACATCACTGGGGAGTGTGTTAGAGAAACACAGACTCTCTGGCCCCACCCCAGACCTGCGGAGTCCTCATCTGCAGTCTACACAGGTCCCAGAGTGCTTCAGGTACTGCTTTATCCTCATTCCACGGGTGAGGATAAGGTAGCTGGGGCAGGCGTGAGGGCTTAGCACACACTCTGAAACTCAGATACTTCCAAGACCAAAGTTCCTTGGACTGTGATTCCCACTGCTCGCCAGGCAGGACGGAACCCTTGAGTTGAGCCTGTTAGGTGCAGATGTCTAGATGAAGGGTATACTTGGCAGAGGGAAGGGCCAGAGCCAGGGCAGGAGCTGTGCGCAGCCCTATGTGTGCGGGGAACTGACAGTTGTCTCGACTGGCTGAGGCGTGGGCTGCAGAATGGACAAGGAGGGAGGCTCCATCTGGAGAAGCTGATGGGGACTAAACCCCTGAGAATAAAGGTGGAGTCCCTCTTCAAACACGTAACCCCCAGACCACTCACACGTGGTTCAGATATAAGTAACCTGCCTTAGCAAGGTGAGGGCACTGAGGTTAAGGTTACTAAGCAGAGATCCGACGACAACTATGTCCCCCAAGTCTCCACCCTGAATATCAAAGTCTCCCTGGGAGAACAGGGGACCCCCAACACTTGAAGTGCTCCTTGTATGGAAACTTCCAGAACTCCCCGACACGTCTAAAGAGAGGTCATCCAGGCACCTCCCAAGGAGCATCGCTGCCCGACTCTGAAGATTCCAAGTCCCACCCTGCGGCACAGGCTGCACTGCCAGCCATTAATTCCACTACTGCTGAAGGGCTGCCGCCGCTGGAAAATTTAAAAATCAATATTGCATGGGGGGGGTGGGGCAACGGCAAAGAACTTCTCTGTCCCCATTTCATCACCTTCAAACTCTGGGTGGTGTATTTTATAAATGCCATTTCCTCTTCACCAGCTAAGTTTCTCTGGGACTTGTCCCGGCTTGCTTTCATGGTAACTGCAAGCACAGGCTGCCAGAACATGTGAGAATCCTGCAGTCACGGAGACTGCTTAATTACCATGCCTGGGGCAGTGGGCAGAAAGTCCCTCTGTCAGAAAGTCTGGAGCTGAAATCGGAGCTGATGGGCTTTGCAGCCACACATCCCCGAGAAACACCCAGCACACTTGTCTTCGCAGAAAGCGGTTTCTCATGTCTGAGCCACCCAGGGAGCTGTTTGGAGCTACATTTTTGTTTTGTTTTGTTTTTTGAGACAGAGTCTCATTCTGTCATCAGGCTAGAGTGCAGTGATGTGATCTTGGCTCACTGCAACCCCCGCGTCCTGGGTTCAAGCGATTCTCCTGCCTCAGCCTCCCGAGTAGCTGGGATTACAGGCACCTGCCACCACGCCCAGCTAATTTTTGTATTTTTAGCAGAGACGGGGTTTCACCATGTTGGCTAGCATGGCGTCGATCTCTTGACCTTGTGATCCACCTGCCTCAGCCCCCCAAAATGCTGGGATTACAGGCATGAGCCACCGCACCTCGCCGGAGCTACGTTTTTTGAAGAGCGGGGCTCCACTTTTGTTCCCAAATCTCATGCAGCAAACTCTTCTGCTTGCTCCATGAACACAGGGGAAGGAGGGAAGACATGCTTCCATTTCCTTGTTCATTCAGAAAATACGCATTGGTTAACCGAGTTTGCAGAGAACACTGTGAGTCACCGAGGTGCCACAGGGCAGATGCTCTGATATTTTCTCAGTTTGTGGCGCTCTTAGAGCCTCAGTCATTTTTCTCATGGCACCCTAGGGCCAAAATCCCAAACCATTCCATTTATTAAATAGTTAGGGCCAGGCAATTTACTAAGTATGTATGTTCTAACAACATAATAGCCAATTGAAAAAATAATACATGTACACTGAAAGAAAAGAACACGTTTCATTTTGTTCTTTTTTGTTTGAGACAGGGTCTCGCTCTGTCACCCAGGCTGGAGTGCAGTGGTGCAATCTTGGCTCACTGCAACCTCTGTCTCCTGGGTTCAAGGGATCCTCTGACCTCAGCCTCCCTAGTAGCTGGGACTACAGGCACTTGCCACCATACCTGGCTAATTTATATATTTTTTATAGAGATGGGGTTTCACCATATTGCCCAGGCTGGTCTTGAACTCCTGAGCTCAAGCAATACACCTGCCTGAGCCTACCAAAGTGCTGGGATTATAGGCGTGAGCCATTGCACCTGGCCTTCATTTTGTTCTTAAATAATCACAAGGACTTAGAACATGTGTGCCTACTGCACCAATCCTCCAATCTTGAACTCGGACTGGGCTCCGTCACCCTCGTTTCCTGCACTGGTCTTGGTAGTACTTGCTTTTTAATCATAGCAACTGCCAATACCCAGTTTCACAAAGAAATGCTGTCATCCGAGGGAATGTAGCGGAATGGAATGTTGAAACTGACTATCTTGAGCTAGTAGTTCACCCAGGGTCTGACAGACGTTGCTGTGTTTTCCTTGAAACTTCAGACTATCCTTCAGCACCCCTGTGACTTCACTGCAGCAGCCCAGGGTGGCTCAGCCGCACCGTTTGGGAACTGTGGGCACCAATTCTGTCATTTCATGAGCCCTGACCATGTGCTTTGTGTAACTAACTAACTAAGGTATGTGATCTCACTGGATGCTCCCCCCCACCATTTGGTTAGTTCTACTGCCATCCTCCTCCTTTTACAGACCAGGACATGAATGCACAGCAACGTTAAGGCACTTTGTTTAAGATGCCAAGCAGACCCAAGACTCACTCAGGCACTGTGCAGCAGAGGACATCATCTTCATGCTCCCAGCACAGTCCAAGGACCGAGGTTCCAGTCCAGGCTCTGCTACTTACTAGCTGTGTGTCCTCTTTTGAGCTTCTCAACTTCTCAGGTCTCTGAGCCACATCTACTGTTTGTGCCCTGCAAAGATTATGGTAGCTTCAGGCAGCTCTTTTGCAAATGGATGGCCTTAATGGCAAGGGATTAAACATAAATGGAGAAGGTGCGGTGCTGACCCAGAAGCAAAACCTTTCCTGGTAAGGGAAAGAGATGATGGGAGAAAAAGAGAGGAGGGTAACCAAAAAGGTTCCAAGGGCAGGCCCTGGAGCAAGACTTTTAGGACCGGGGACAAGTCACAGGGCTTTGGGACTGGACACCCTTAGCCCACTGCCCAGCCAAGCTTGCTTGAGCATATTGACTGTTGGCCTGGGGCTGACGATGATGATGATGTTTTTTCCTTAAATAATCGAGTTCAAAATGGATGGGAAAATGGGTGCTGCACGATTAGGGCTTTTAGTCATAATTGCTCAAAAATAATAATAAACACCCAGCAGCCTCTTTAATTACTCAGCAGTGCTTCTTTTCTTTTCATTAGACGTTTCCATTTGCTCATGATGGTATTGCAGAGTGTTTATCAATGCTAATGATGCCATTCTCCAGAGCCCTATTTTGTCTTAAGGGCTGTAAGTGAAATTGTTAAGAAATAAATTTCCTATGCAACAATACATCACAAAGGAAAGCGAACAGAACAATAGCCAGGGCCTTCTCCCCGGCTAATAGGGATGTCACTTGCTGGGGCCTTGCAATCCATGAGGCCTGAGCATCTGGGTTTCCTTGCTGTGCCCAAGAGTGGGCATCTAAGAGTCCCCTGCACAAGAGGGAGGCCCACTATCTTGGAGGGTGAGAGGAATGAAGATGAGATTATAGCCATGTGGGTCTGGGTCCCAGCTCTGCCACTTACTAGCAAATCAGGAAGGAATGTTCCCCCAGGGCCTGAGGAAAGCATTGTTCTCTCTGGACCTTTATTCTCAGGGACAGATTGGGGCACTTGCACTGGAAGGTCTAGGAACCTCACCGTGCTTGCTCCAAGGGTAAAGTACTACAGGACCTCATAATGAGAGGTAGCATGGCAGAGTGCTCAAGAGTGGCCACCCTGGCTTCAGACTCCCTGTGTTTGCATCCCAGTTCTGCCCTTTTCCGGCTGAGTGACACAAGGCAAATTACATGAGACTCTGCCTGTGTTTCCCCATCAGTAAAATGGCAATCACAGGGGTACATGTACTAGGGTTACTGTGAGGACGGAAGGAATTAGAACATGTCAAGGACACAGGGTAAGAATGCAGTCCATCCTAAAAAGCCTCGAAAGCTTGGCCTTGTGGGAAGGGGCTGTCTTTGGGGTTATCTGAACGGGCTTTTTTGGGAGTCCCCTCCTTCACATGAATATTTTGGTTTGGTTGGAGTCTCTAGAACAGAGGCTTCCAATCTTCTTTCCGGAGGGGTCTGTCCAGGAAGGAGATTGTCTAGGGGTCTGTCAGACAGCTGCTCTCACCTGCTTCCTCGATCCTTTTCACTAACGATTATATAGTCATCTAACTACTGTCAACGAGTAATAGATATTCTCTCCTTCACTTGTTTAGATTATTTGCTGAAATATCCTCTCAAAAGAACCTCTCAAAATAAAAGGTTAACAAGAGCCTATATCTTACATTTTTCTTCTCTTTATCTTCTTAGAAGATAGCTATTAAAACCTGTTCTTTTTCTGCCTTGTTAAACACACTTCAACCTTGGTGGAATGGTAGATGGGTGTATTTCAGGATCTAAAGCTCTGCAAATGTATGATCAGCTCATAAGTACAGGTGCTCAGAAGCAGGTAGACAATCCTGCTTTTTACTCTGTAAGAATATCTTTAAAATTCTCATGAATTTTCCCCCAGAAGTAAAGCCAGTCCTCCCCCAGAAATAAAATTAATTGTGCATAGTCTAAAGCCTTTTTATTGTGGTAGGATATATATATAACACAATTTGCCATTGTAAACATTTTAAATGTACAATTCAGAGGCATTATTTACATTCACAATGTTGTGAAATGATCACGACTATTTCCAAAATGTTCTCATCACCCCGAACTGAAACTCTGTAACTGTTAAGCAATAACTTCATTCCTGCATCTCTCTCAGCCCCAGGTAACCTCGAATCTTTCTTTTTGACACAAGGTCTCATTCCATCATCCAGGTAGGAGTGCAGTGGTGTGATCATAGCTCATTGCAGCCTGGAAATCCTGGGCTCAAGCAATCCTCCCACCTCCGCCTCCTCGAGTAGCTGGGACTACAGGTGCATGTTAATTGCACCTGGATGACTTTGTTTTTTGTAGACACGTGGTCTGTCTATATTTCCTATGCTGGTCTTGAGCTCCTGGCCTCAAGGAGTCCTCCCACGTTGGGTCTTTCAAAGTGCTGTGATTATGGGCATGAGCTATTGCACTTGGCTCGATCTACTATCTATTAATTTGCCTATCATAGATAATTCTTATAAGCAGAACCATACAATATTTGTCCTTTTGTGTCTGCCTTATTTCACATAGAATGCTTTTAAGATTCATCCATGTTGTGGTATGTATCCGAATTCCATTCATTTTGATCACAAAACAATATTCCATTGTATGTATACACACTTTGTGTATTTATCCATCTTCTGATGAACACTGGGATATTTCTACCTTCTAGCTATTGTGAATAATGCTACATTGACATACAAGTTAAAAAGAAAAAAAGAATGCAGACCATCAATGAAGTGCAAACGCTCATGATCAAAAGAGATACTTTATGGGCTGGGCGCGGTGGCTCATGCCTGCATT